AAGCGGTAACCCCGAGCTGCACTCGGGCTTACCATGCGGTGTTGCTCAGGGAGTCCCTGCAGAGCTTACCTTGTCCTTCGCTCCCGCGATGCGTCCCCTGCAGCGTCGCCGGCCATCTCCTCCTGCCGATGCCGGCATCCGGCTTCCGTGTTCCGGTCCCTGTGACGTTGGGACGTACGGGCACCGGAACCGGCGGCAAATTTGAAATTTTTTTTAAAATGTCATTTTTTAAAAAATGATTACATAGTAAAACATTGCTGTTTCAAAACATTTCACATACATTTTGTCCCTGCTGCTTTGTCCGGAGCCCTGCCTGCATTTTGATTGTTCTTTCTTTCTGCCTGGAAACTTAGAAAAGTCCATGGCGTCTAAAAAGCGTCCCTTTATGTCAAAAGCGGTTTTAGACCGGCTAGAGAACAGCGATAGTAAATCAGAACCACTTGCAGAATTGAGTGATAATGATTTGTGGGGGAAATTCGTCATCAGACACTGAAAACGATTCTGGGACTTTGCTCAGCGATGTGCGAACTTGGCACTATATTTTAAATTTAAGTGTTTTTGGTTTGATTATATTATTGAATTAAATTTATTATTATTATATTATTATTTTTTATGATTATTTATTAAATTATAATTTATGATTTTGTGTTTCAAGTTTTATCATATCCGGAATGTTTACTAGACTCTTTTTCAAACAGATTTCAGTGAGTTATTCCTAAATTACAGGCCTACAATAAAAAAAACTACATATTTCCATGAAAAAAAATGGTACCGCTTTCAGCACCAAAAATCGGAAATAAACATACCGCCGAGGAGGTTAATAAACACAATCACCTGTCCCAGGGTCCAGCGATGTGCTCACCCGCATTGTCCCTTTCTCTCCCTCTTTTCTCTCCAGCTGACATCACAACTGTGGGCACCAGGCTATGACAGCTTGCGGCTTCACAGCTGGGTACCCACTGCGCATGCACGAGTCGCACTGCATATTCTGATTGGTCCAGCAGTCTTTTGGGACCTGTGAAAGTTCCTAGGAGACTGCGGAAGAAAGGAGGGGGGCTGAATTTCCGGATCACTTCACCACGACAAACTGAGCCGGCAGTGGGAGCGGGTACCTGTACCCCCCCCCCCCCCAAAAGGTGCCAAATATGGCAGTGGAAGGGGCAAACAAGCAGAGCTTCCACTTTTGAGTGGAATTCCGCTTTAAAGTGGTGCACATGAATACAGCCCAGTAAAGTCTGCCAGCAGTAAATAATGCTGCTAGGTAGATGGCCAGTCCCTTTGTGCTCAGATCCTGCTAGCAGCAACAGGTTAATGGCAGCAGTGTCCTCTCACCAGTCTCATATATTCAGCAACAGGGGTCCCTCTGTTCAGATGTTAGCGACTGGAGCAACTTCAGTCCCCAGCACATGGCTGCAGGCTTGTGTCAGGTTGATGTGCAAACAGGAATAGTGATGTGCATGCCTCAATCTCCTTGTGGCAAAAAGAAAACCCCTCAGTATTCAGCCTGTGAAAATGCAGCTCTCTCTTTCTTTAAGTGCAGCTCACATTGGGAATTGTAGGTCAGTAGTTCATTAACTGCCATAAAATGCTTCTTTCCGGAACTTGATCTCCCATGGTTCAAGCTGCTGCAGAGAAAACCATACAGGGGATCAGTCCCAGTGACTCCCCCCCCCCCCCCACAGCCATGCTGGTCTCCCTCCCTGCCCACATCCAATTCACCCATCTGCCTGGGCTCCTGCTGGCCTGGGCCCCATACAGGAGGACTGGTGGTACCCCCTTATCCACGGCCTTGCAGTAGATGCTTGCACTGTGACACATGAGAAGGAGTCAAGTTTCCATAAGGTAGAATTAGTGTAGGTTTAGGGTTACAGTTCTAGCTAGTCTGGTGGTTAATATTTGGGTTACAGAAAGGATTTGTGTGTCAGGGTTCCAGGGAAGGTTAGTGTGATGGTTAGCATTACCAAGATGGTTAGTTTGAGGGGTCCTTGGGATAGAGTATCCGTCTTTGAGTTGGAAGCTCTCTGCCAAAAATTTCCAGTATTGATTTAAAATTAATGTATTGAGTTCCTGAAAATTCTTGCTCCTCAGTCTTCATTTCTGTTGTAATTTATTATTTAATTGACTAATTAAACTCTAATTACACATGGCCCTGACAGTGCAGTAAAAAAGGCTGCAGAGCTGAATATAACTGTCAAGAAGATTTGCTAAGGCACTGGACTTAATTTGGCTTCAAAGGCTCATAAAAAATTATAAAAAAAAGCTGTTGATTAGTTGGTACAAACTCTGACCAAACACAGTTACAATGTTTCCTGCATAGCAACAGCAGTTCAGTTAGTTACATAGTTGGTAAGGTTGAAAGAATGCACCAATTCAACGTGTATACGTGTGTGTGTGTGTGTGTGTATGTTTTTATCACCACAACTTTTCATATGCCTGTATATTGTTTTCGTAAAAAAATCTAAAATTTTTTTGAATTTATCTACACTCCTCATTGCCACCACTGACTGTGGAAGGGAGTTCCACATCCTTACCACTCAAACAATAAAGAACCCATTACACAGCTTAAGAATGAACCACCTCTGCTCAGGGACGGACTGACCATTTGGAAACTCGGGCACTGCCCGAGGGCCTGGGGTCAGTAGGGGGCCCCATGAGATGCCCCTGGTACCTTTTTCATAGGCATTTTTTGACTTTGGGCAAGGACACAGGGGCCCCATGATCCCCTATTGCTCGGGGCCCCATGAGTTGTCAGTCTGCCCCTGCAGGGGAGCACCTCCTCTCAAAGCACCTTGTTCCATATTGATAGGGACAAGGGCCTCTTCCCCCGCTGGTGGTTGTGGGGGTCTGCGGGCAAGGGGCTAATCGGAATCTGGAAGCCTGGGGCCCCCAGCTCCCCCCCTTGTAAATGAGTATGGGGTCTTTTTCATAGGCTTTTTTGAGTTTGGGCAAGGACACAGGGGCCCCATGATACCCTATTGCCCGGGGGCCTCGTGAGATGTCAGTCCGCCCCTGCCTCTGATCCAACCTCATTGTGTGGCCACGATTCTTCTTTAGAGACCTTAGGTTAATGAGTTTCCTCCCAACACTCACCACACATTTGTATATTGCGATCATAGTCCCTGTTAAGCAAGTTTAATGGTTGTAGTCGTTCCTCAAGCCCATTTTTAGTTTTGTTGCCCTTCTCAGAACTCTCTAGTTCAAGCACATGAGGACTGGTAACCAGAACTGTCTGGCATACTCAAAATGTGGTTGAACCAGAGTGGGAGAAAAGTAATATTTTTTCTTGCTGTCTGGAGCAGCTTTTGTACACACTCCTTGGCCACTTTATTATGTCCACCTGTTCAATTGCTTGGGAACACAAATTGCTAATCGGCCAATCACATAGCAGCAGCTCAATGCATTTAGTCATCTAGACTTGATGAAGACTTGCTGCAGTTCAAACCGAGCATTAGAATGGGGAAGAACGGGAATTTAAGTGACTTTGAATGTGGCATGGTTGTCGGTGCCAGATGGGCTGGTCTGAGTATTTCAAAACTGCTGATCTACTGGGATTTTCCTGCACAACCATCTCTAGGGTTTGTTCCGAAACAGAGAAAATATCCAGTGAGCGGCAGTTGTGTGGACGAAAATGCCTTATTGATGTCAGAGGTCAGAGGAGAATAGGCAGACTGATTTGAGATGATAGAAAGGCAACAGTAAATCATGTCAATATGGACCAAAATCTCTGTGGAATGTCTCCAACACCTTGTTGAATCTATGCCACGAAGAGTTAAGACAGTTCTGAAGTCAAAAGGGGGTCCAATCCAACACTGGCAAGGTGTACCTAATAAAGTGGCGGTTGTGTGCAGACAATCATTCAAAGCACACTGGGTAATATACAACCCACACTACTATGGGTACTTCTTTATTTTGTACTACAATTTGTTAGTTGAGTATGGTGCATTGCCTTGTCTGTAGTGGGCTGTGTTATGTTTTTGACTGCATTTCACGGAGGAATGAAATCCCTACTTGTCTCATGATCTGTAATAATGTCTTTTAGGCAACAGACACACCCTGAATGAAGATGAGGATGACATGCAACAGTATGAAACAAGAATTATGAGGAACACTGTAGCCCTAGAAAATCACCAACATGACAGCAGAAAAGAAACTCAACAGAGTCCAGATTTACCAAAAGAAGAATATGAAGAGAAGCGGAATCATGCAGAAACTGAAAGCAGGGAGGAAAAAGAGGAGGAAAAAGTAAAAGAAACAGAACAATTTGATGAAAAAGAGGAAAGCACAGGGCATTCTAAAGAAAGAGCCTTTGCTGAAGGCGAGGATGACAATGAAGAAATAAATAACAAGAAACATGAGAAAGAAGACATAGAAAAAAGAAATAAATACCACGAGGACTCACAAGAGTCTACACATGACATTTCAGACAAAAGAGCTCATCACGCAGCTAAACATACAAAAGAATTACCTGAAGAAGAAAATGAGGATGACGCCAAGAACTTAGAAGAAATCTTAAAGAGACACGCTTTCAGCAAAAACTGGAGAGATCAACTTTTGCAGCCAGAGAAATTCCATTCCATTCACTCCAGTAAAGCGCCAGAGGAAAATGATGAATGGGAAGAAGAAAAAGAAAAAATAAGCTATAAAACCAAATCATGAAGAACCTATAAAGAGGTTCTTTGGTTATGAGGAAAGGCAAAGTCATCACGAAGAACCAAGAAATAGTCTTGCAGACCCAAGGGGACAAAAAGCCACACTTTGGAGAAACCTCCTTGGAAAACCACTTAATCCAAAATTACTTTGACAAGAGGCCCCATTATGACAAAGAAAGTTCAGAAGAAGTATAGAGAGAGAAGAAACATCACCATCAAGACATCGAGGAAGAGGCAGAACGCCATGACAGCAGTGAAGAAAGCAATGAGAAAGAAATGACTGGTCACCACTATGAAGAGAAAGGACGACATGAAGAAAGAAAGAGATGGCCAAGTCAACAGAATTCTAGGCTAAACTACGAAGAAAGCAATGAAGATAGCAAAGAGAGCGAGGAAGGTATTGATAAGCGTCAAGAGCATGAACAAGAGAAGGAAAATTTCTTTAGAAAACTAAAACACCATCTCCAAGAGAGTGAAGAGGCTGAACCATTTAGACAAGAAAAGAAACAAGAAGAAAAAAGGTACTACATTGGTGAAGAAATGGTGGATGGGATGAAAAGATACTACCCAAAGCTGGCTCAGGAAAAAGACTTGAGACAAAATGAGCAAAGTAAAAATCGTTATAGAGAAGACAGCGAGGAATCAAATTTCCCAGACAATGAAATGTACAAACGAAAGTTTTATGCTGAAGAAGATAGAAGGTCTTTTTTAAACAACATGGGCTCTCCCAAGCGAGGACCCTCAGAGGTGTGGCAGAGCAGATACTTTGAGAACGCTGACAACAGTGAAGAAGACAGGAGAGAAGCTTACAGGTCAAAAACATTTTTCCAGAATATGGTGATTATGATTTATGGGGAAAAAGGCAATTTCTTGAAGATGTGAACCATCGGTATGGTGAGAACAGAAGCCCTGCTAAATGCACAAATTGGAAGAAAAAAGAGAGTATGACAGGATGGATGAATTGGCTCAGCTTCTAAATTACAAGAAAAAGTCTGTCGAGTTTCCAGATTTCTATGACTCTGAAGAGATAAAAAAGCGTCACTACGATGACAGAGGGAGATTCAGAGAGAGGCCTTTAACTGAAGAAGAGGTACGCTTTTTTTATTATGATCTGCAATACATACACTCAACAAAAAAATCATCGTGTGAATAAGATGTAACAGGCCAAACATTGAATGTATATACTGTACATACAGTTGTGTCCAAAATTATTCAACCCCACTGAAATTGAGTGTTTTGGCCAGTTTGACATTGCTTTTGATCATTCAGTCATCTTGCTTACATTTACATTAAAGAGGCACTTGTAGGTCAGACAAATATAACATAACAGTTATAATGAAATAACCACAAATGTCTTTTCTGTGCTCACAGCATTATCAGTTTTATTCAACCCCCAAGTGACATTCAATCTTAGTACTTAGTACAGCATCCTTTTACAGTTATAACAGCTTTTAAACGTGAAGCATAGCTTGACACAAGTGTCTTGCAGCGATCTACGGGTATCTTCGCCCATTCTTCATGGGCAAAGGCCTCCAGTTCAGTCACATTCTTAGGCTTGCGCACTGCAACTGCTTTCTTTAAGTCCCACCAGAGGTTCTCAATCGGATTTAAGTCTGGTGACTGCGATGGCCACTCCAAAATGTTCCAGCCTTTCCTCTGCAACCATGCTCTAGTGGACTTGGAGGTATGCTTGGGATCATTGTCCTGTTGAAAGGTCCAACGTCTCCCAAGCCTCAGGTGTGTGACGGACTGCATCACGTTTCCATCCAATATCTCCTGTACTGAAGAGAATTCATGGTACCTTGCACACGCTGAAGCTTCCCTGTACCTGCAGAAGCAAAACAGCCCCAAAGCATGATTGACCCTCCACCATGCTTCACAGTAGGCAAGGTGTTTCTTTTCATCATAGGCCCTTGTTCTTCCTCCTCCAAACATAGCGTTGATCCATGGGCCCACAAAACAGTTTCTAATTTTGTTTCATCAGTCCACAGAACACTATCCCACAACTTTTTGTGGTTTGTCCACATGGCTTTTGGCATACTGCAGTCGACTCTTCTTATTCTTTGGAGACAGCAAGGGGGTACGCCTGGGAGTTCTGGCAACGGAGGCCTTCATTACGCAGTGTGCGTCTTATTGTCTGGGCTGAAACTTCTGTACCCACATCTGACAAATCTTTTCTCAGTTCCTCAGCAGTCACACGGGGACTTCTCTCCACTCTACGCTTCAGGTAGCGCACAGCAGTCGAAGTCAGCATCTTCTTTCTGCCACGACCAGGTAGCGTTTCAACAGTGCCCTTTGCCTTGAATTTGCGAATGATGCTTCCTAAGGTGTCTCTTGGTATGTTTAACATCTTTGCAATCTTCTTATAGCCATTGCCCTTCCTGTGAAGAGAAATCACCTCTTCTCTTGTCTTCCTGGACCATTCTCTTGCCTTCACCATGTTTGTAACCACACCAGTAAATGTCTAGAAGGAGCTGAGTATCACAGTCATTTTAAAGCTGCCTAATTGGTGCTTATTATGCTTGATTGCTGCTCGGTGACATCCACAGGTGTTTTCAATACCTGATGGAAAGCACCTGTATGAACCTCTGTTCTTCAGAGTGGTAGTCTTTAAGGGGTTGAATAATTGTGGCAATGAAGAAAACCACATAAGAACCATTTACTACTGTATATACATAAACAATTGATGTCATTTTTAGTTGCATTTGGGTAGTTACAACGTCCTTGTAGGATTTGATTCAGAATACAATTCCAAATGTACACTAAAGTCCCTAAACCCTTTACAGCATTGGGGGTTGAATAATTTTTGGACACAACTGTATATATATATATATATATATATACACACACACATTAATACAATTATTTACACACTAGAGGCAAATTGTTATTGTTATCTAAAGTCTCTGAGTAATCCCTATCAGCGCTGCACAGGTCAGCCCTACATGACCCATTTTGTCCAGCACCATGCAATGAAGTCAACTGTCACTTATACGTTTTTGCTACGTGAGATTTGACAGACCAGCAGCAGTAACTAGTTGGTTTATAACAAAGTAGAGTAGAAAATCCTGCAGCTATTAACATGCTCAACCAGTTTAAAAGTAATATATACCGTATTTTTCGCCGTATAAGACGCACCTGACCATAAGACGCACCTAGGTTTTAGAGGCAGAAAACAGGAAAAAAAAATTCTGAACTAATGGACTGCAGACACAGTACAGGAGATGACCAGAGACTGCGGACAGCACAGGGATGACCAGAGACTGCGGACAGCACAGGGATGACCAGAGACTGCGGACAGCACAGGGATGACCAGAGACTGCGGACAGCATAGGGATGACCAGAGACTGCGGACAGCACAGGGATGAACAGAGACTGCGGACAGCACAGGTATGACCAGAGACTGCGGACAGCACAGGGATGACCAGAGACTGCGGACAGTACAGATGACTGCTGACCTTTGGGGAGGTGGGGAGCGGGTACCTGAATTTGACAGGTACCCGCTCTTACTTCCGCAGAGTTTTTGTTTCATCTAACCTGTTCCTCGATCCAGCCGCACGCTGTCTTCCCGGCTTCTGTAATGGCGCTCGGCATGACAGCCGGGTGCCCAGTGCGCATGAGCGAGAAGCACTTTCGCTTTGTGATTGGTCCGGCGGCTTCTGGGATCTGTCATGTATCCCAGGTACCGCCTTACCATTCACAAAAAGCACCGCTTCTTGCGCATGCGCACTTGGCACCCAGCTGTCATGCCCAGTGCCCACACTACAGAAGCCGGAAGACAGCGCGCCGCTGGATAGAGGAACAGGTAAGGTCCCGCTGCAGAGCTGAGCGGCCGGCCGGTATTCTGACACGGCTGCGGTGGAAATACCGGACCGGCCGCTCCATATTCGCCTTTATAAGACACATTGACATTTCCCCCCCCAGTTTTGGGGAGAAAAAATGCGTCTTATACGGCGAAAAATACGGTAGATTCCAGGCACTTCTGCATAACCTCCAATAATTCCTTTATGGAAAAACCATCTGTACACACAGAGCAGTCACTGGCGCATTATTGCCTTATGATTAAGCTCTGAACGAAGTGAAATGTGTTAGAGCTTGTATATACCAGGTGGTATAGTCTGTATGATGGAGGGCTTAATCAAATGGAACTAAGGCTTTTAAATGGCGATGGGCTTCCCTTCTTCTTCAAAAGTTTGTGAGGGAGCGTTTCTGTCTTAGTGTCAGGAGCTTGTAACACTCCTCTTCCATGGCAGCTGCTGTCCTTATTTCAGCCTCCCGGTTTTGGCTGAGCTGCACTCTCCCTGTTTGACTGTCCACCTGCAGGGTGATTGGTGTGGACACAGCTTCTGAGTGGAGTCCAAACCTGTTTTTAAGCCTGCCAAGCCCTTAGTGTCATACTTGTGATAGCATTTGCAACACGTGTTTCAAGCTCCCTGCTCACCTGCCTTGTGCATTGACCTTCACCTTTGCCCAAGACTTTGTGCTCCTCCACCTTCTGTTTGAGGATGCCCCACAGATGCTCAATAGGGTTTAGGTCTGGAGACATGCTTGTCCAGTCCTTCGCCTTTACCCTCAGCTTCTTTAGCAAGGCAGTGGTCATCTTGGAGTTGTGTTTGGGGTCGTTATCATGTTGTAATACCGCCCTGCGGCCCAGTCTCCGAAGGGAGGGGATCATGCTCTGCTTCAGTATGTCACAGTACATGTTGGCATTCATGGTTCCCTCAATGAACTGTAGCTCACCAGTGCCGGCAGCACTCATGCAGAACCCCACCCTTCCAGCTAATTAGGATTTCCTTCTTATAGACCTCATATCGAACTATGGACTACTGTCTGAACTCTGCCTGCCTTTTCACCACAGATTTGACTAACGACTCTCTGAACCTTGCCTGCCCTGAACCTGGACTACCATTGGACCACTCTGCCTGTCTGTTAACCACAAGTACCTGTTTGCCGTGCTTAGCTCGCGCCTGACACAGCATGGTTGCCAGGCATTATAACATTTTGTTCAAGACCTGGGGGCAACTGAGCACTGACAGAGCCAGCTATAGTGTTTAAACACCTATGCTAGGGGTAGGCATGACACTTAGTCAGCCTTGGTTATAGCCATATACAATACATATGCTATGACTAAGGCAAACTAAGAAACGCATCAACAATTACTCTGTAAAGGTTGCTTTTTCAGTAAAGGAATTATTGGAGGTTATGTTGAAGTGCTGGGAATCTACTTTATCTACATGATTTCAAGCCCTAGAAGAGAGATGGTTTCCATGCACTGCACATAGGATGGTGGGCATTAAAGCGGAGCTCCACCCAAAAGGGGAGGTTCCGCTTTAAGTCTTTGTCCCCCGCTCCCCTTTAAGGATTGGCACTTTTGGGGAGCCGGTACCTGAATTTGACAGGTACCCGCTCCCACTCGATCTGCGATCGCCTGGGCGATCGGAAGAGGAAGTTGTCCTCCTCCCTCCCTCCCCATAGTCTGCTGGGACACGTGACAGGTCCCAGAAGACTACGGGGCCATTCACAAAGTGCAGCGCTTCTCGCGCATGCGTGGTGAGCACCCGGCTGTGAAGCCACAAGCTGTCACAGCCAGGTGCCCATACTAAATATGACGGCACCAGGTAGAGAAGATGGCTGGTGAAACCAGTGGTGGTGAGGACACCGCTGGACCGGGGGACAGGTAAGTGACTGTATTTTAAAACTCAGCAGCTACAGTTTTTGTAGCTGCTGACTTTTTTTTTTTCAGGGGGTACTCCGCGTTAAGTAGGGGTGAGCTGTGAATATTTGTTTATAAATAATGTAGAAGTATGACCCTAATTCTCAAAAATTCTGTATGTAGGACCTTACAATTTTGAGCACATCTCATTTTTGACATTGCAGATCTGTTTTCTTGCTAGAAAATAAAGTGTACTTAAAATTATATTGGGCCAAAGCAAAGCACCAGAACACAAGCTATTGCCCATGGCTAGCAATCAGTTTCATCTTACCAATGAAACAAAAAATCTGTCTGACGTACAGCAGCTCTATTTGGCTTCAGGGTTATCTGATCCAGTTCTCGCACACTAGCCTGCTTTCTAAACACTTGTGTTAGGT